CAGCATCCCCAGCAGTCACGTGGACAGAATTCAAACGCTGCGGAGCTGACTCACATTTATGACGGTCACAGGAGTCCTGGAGGACACTTTTTGAGACCTTCTGTCAAGCAAAGCCAATTGGGAAGTCCACACGTCATCAAAGGGCCAAGTTTGAAGACCCCTGAAACACAGCAATGAATCAATAAGTCTGGAGTTAAAACCACAGTTGCCATACTGCCATGAGAGAAAAATATGGAAGATTGGGACGGTATGGGAACCCCTGTCTTGGGGAGGGGGTTGGACTAGTTGACCTCCAAGGTCCCTCCCAGCTTTAGGACTGCATGAATTAAGAGAACCCGTTGCAATTTCTCCTTAGGCCACAACGAGGATCATTGTAGTAAGAGTAGGGGGCCTTCAAACTTGGCCCTTTGATGACTGGTGGACTTCAACTCCCAGAATTCCTCAGCCAGCCAGGTTCTCTGTGTGGATGTCACTTCCGGAAGTCCATTCTGGGCCCGGGCAACAAAAAATTAGCTCCCGGTTCTTCCGAAGTGGTGCGAACCGACTGACTCCCACCACTGGGATCACGTGACCCCCGGGACACTGCGACCGTCGAAAATATGAACCAGTTGCCAAGCATCTCGATTTTGATCACCCGATTGACGGGATGCCGCAAAAGCCCTAACTCTGAAAAACGGTCCTAAGTGACTTTTTTCAGTGCCGTTGTAACTTGGAACGGTCATTAAACAAACTGTCGTAAGTCGAGGACTACCTGGCCCCTGGCTTTGAGAGGGTCCTTGGAATCCAGGGGGACAACCACTTAAATCAGAGTCAGGAGTGTGTTGCAGTGCCAAAAAAGCCAACACAGTCCTAGGGTGCATTAACAGAGGGAGAGAATCAGGATCACCCGAAAATGGCATGGTGGCCTAGAGGTGGCACTCTCACCTCACAATCAGGGGGCTGTGAGTTCGATCCTCATAGATACTTCTATCTCCGGGCGCAATGAGTAATTGTCTGCTGTGAACAACCTTGTGGGCGTCAGGAAGGGTATCCAGACAGTAAAGGCTCCGTTCAGTTGCTCCGACACCACCCTGATAGATTACAGCAGGGGTCTGCAACCTTGACCACTTTCAAGACTTGTGGACTTCAGCTCCCAGAATTCCTCAGCCAGCATATGTCTTCAAAGTGGTCCAGACTGCAGACCTCTGGATGACAGGGTTGTGAATACAAAAAAACAGATTCAAAATCATGTGAAATGTTGGGATCACTTTATAATGCTTCAAATGTGGCAGCCAGTTTTGGTTGCCACAATGCACAACAGATGCGGAGACTCTAGGCCAATGGTTCTCAACCTTTTTAATGCCGCGACCCCCAACCAGTCGTAAGTCGAGGACGACTCAACCGGTCGTAAGTCGAGGACTACTCAACGGGTGCAGCACCGTTTGCAGAATGGGACTTTTGGCGGGCTCAGCAGGGCAGAGACAGCCTGGACAATTCCTATTGGCTTTTGAAAGCCAATAGAATTAGACTCTATTCAATAGAGTCTATTCTATTGGCTTTCAAAAGCCAATAGAATAAAAGGGAGTAGCACAGCTAAGGAAAAGGGGGAAAAAATGGCGGACTGCGTTGTTTGGCGACCCCCGTGAAATGGTCGTTCGACCCCAAATGGGGTCCCGACCCACAGGTTGAGAACCACTGCTCCAGAAAGAGGGCACCCACTGGCGGTTTGCTCTAGCAGTTAAAGGTGCTGGACCAATCACCAGGAGATGGTGAGTTCTAGTCCTGCCTTAGGCATGAAAGCCAACTGGATGACTTTGGGCCAATCACCAGGAGACGGTGAGTTCTAGTCCTGCCTTAGAAGTGAAAGCCAGCTGGATGACTTTGGGCCACTCACCAGGAGACGGTGAGTTCTAGTCCCACCTCAGCCATGAAAGCCGTTTGGGTGACTTTAGGCCAATCACCAGGAGACGGTGAGTTCTAGTCCCGCCTTAGGTGTGAATGCCAGCTGGGTGACTTTGGGCCAATCAGCAGGAGACGGTGAGTTCTAGTGCCGCCTTAGGCATGAAAGAGAACTGGGTGACTCTGGGCCAATCACTAGGAGACGGTGAGTTCTAGTCCCGCCTTAAGCATGAAAGCCGGCTGGGTGAGTTTGGGGCAGTTTCTCTCTCTCTCTCTCTCTCTCTCTCTCTGCCCAACCTACCTCACAAGACTGTTGGTCGCTTTGAGTTATTTATAAAAATAATAAAGACAGAAAAATAATCTAATAAATAAATACAAATCAATGATATCATGATTTTTTAAAAAAAATAGCTTCATTCGGTTTTGACATCATAACATTAAAATACAAACTAACATACAAGAAAGAAGGAAAGGGATTGGCAAAGCACATTAAAAGTGACAAAAAAACACACACCAAACAAATATAACCAAGGTACTCCTGACTTTTTTTTAGTACAGATATTAACAACACAGCCCTAGTTACATTTCAAGAAACAACACCAATCTATACAATATTTTAAAATACAATTCAGTCAACTGACTGAAAATCAGCATTGATAAAGTGCTCTCGTCATTTAAAAGACCGTGTATTTTAAACATAATTTGCATCCGATAACATTTAAAATACACAGTATTTCTCTACTCAGGTCCAATGTAATTTTCAAGGTTTCCGCCCCCGTCCAAAAACTCAGAAGAGAAAATCCTCCAGTTCCAGCAACATTATCCTGGGACACGTAGATTCGCCTCCATTCGTAATCTTCAAAAACCCAAGGTCAAAAGTTGATGCTTCTTTTTATCCAGTAAGAAATCTATCAATGGCCACCAGATTGCTTGGCATTTAATCAAACTATTGTTGCTGAGCAATGCAACCAATTTCCTAGTTCCAGCTCCTTCCATTAATTTCTAACTTCCTTACTTAGCAAAAATTTGGGCGTAATTGCGATTATAGCAATGAAGATGATTAGGGGACTGGAGGCTAAAGCATACAAGGAACGGTTGCTGGAATTGGGTCTGTCCAGTTTAATGAAGGATGAGGGGGACATGGTAGCAGTCTTCCAGTATCTCAGGGGCTGCCCCAAAGAAGAGGGAGTCAAGCTATTCTCCAAAGCGCCTGAAGGCAGGACAAGAAGCAACAGGTGGAAACTAATCAAGGAGAGAAGCAACCTAGAACTAAGGAGGAATTTCCTGACAGTGAGAACAATTAACCAGTGGAACCACCTGCCTCCAGAAGTGGTGAATGCTCCAACACTGGAAGTTTTTAAGAAGAGACTGGACAGCCATTTATCTGGAATGGTATAGGGTTTCCTGCCTGAGCAGGGGGTTGGACTAGATGACCTCCAAGATCCCTGCCAACTTTACTATTATTATTAAACTGAGGACTAACTGTATATTCTTTCCAACTTTGGGCAGATAAACAAACTTGCCACTGTAGTCATATATAAAAACAAACCCTCAGGTATCAAAACAATGGTAACATGATATGTTTGTTTGATTGTTACGGTTTTAATTTAACAGAAGAAGAGAGGTGGAAGGGACCTTGGAGGTCTTCTAGTCCAGCTCCCTGCTCAGACAGGAGACCCTATAACATTTCAGACAAGTGACTGCCCAGTCTCTTCTTAAAAACCTCCAGTGATGGAGCCCCCACAACTTCTGGTGGCAAGCTGTTCCACTGATTAATTGTCCTCACCGTTAGGAAGTTTCTCCTTAATTCCAGGTTGCTTCTCTCCTTGATTAGTTTCCATCTGTTGCTTCTTCTCCTGCCTTCAGGCGCTTTGGAGAATAGCTTGACTCCCTCTTCTTTGGGGCAGCCCCTCAAATATTGGAAGACTGCTATCATGTCACTCCTAATCATTCTTTTCATTAAATTAGATATAGTCAATTCCAGCCATTTAGCCTCCAGGCCCCTGATCATCTTTGTTGCTCTTCTCTGCACTCTTTCTAGAATAATGTATATAATGTATTGCTAATTGCCCAGATTCTTGTGGAAGTGAGATGGGTGGCCTTATATACAAACATATTGTGGACAAAATCCCAGTTAAAAAGGGGTCCATAAAATCAGTGTCACGGGTGTGTATCTGGGAGTGTGAGGCCAACAGTTCCTCCATCTTCTTCCTCCTTTGAACTCAGAGGTTCATTAACCCTAAGAGCAATTGGATCAATTCATGCTGGATTATTTTATGAGTCAGGAGCAAAGAGCAAGCAGGCAAGTCTCGGGCCTTATCTCTGCCCATACCTTGATCTTTGAGGTCTACTAGGTAAAAAAAAAAAAAAAAATCTGTAGGAACTTCAGAAATCCAGCCTTCTTAAAACATGCTATCTGGGAATTGAAATCTCCCCATCTTAAATAAGCACGCTGTCTGGGGAATTCTGGGAGTTGAAGTCCCCCCATCTTAAAGAAACATGCGGTCTGGGGAATTCTGGGAGTTGAAGTTCCCCCCATCTTAAATAAGAAGCACGCTGTCTGGGGAATTCTGGGAGTTCTAGTCCACCCATCTTAAAGAAGCATGCGGTCTGCGGAATTCTGGGGGTTGAAGTCCCCAAGTTGCTGCGATTGAGAACCTCGGGATTCAGCGGCTGTATTCCAGCAGAACCACCCGAAATCCTTCGCGAGCGTGGGAACCGGCTTCCCTGTAGGCTACGGAGCGAAGGCCACCAAACCTGAGCAGGGGGTTGGACTAGATGACCTCCAAGCTCCCTTCCAACTTTATTCTTCTTCTTCTTCACATTAACCCGGGTTCCGCGTTCTCTCCAGCCCGCTCGTCTGAACGCTGCCCTCTAGGGCCGCGCAGGAGCAGCCAGCTCAGAAAGGGGCACGGGGGGGGGGGGGCAAAACCCATCCTCCACGGCGGGGAAAAGGCAGCCGACGGAGCCCCCCCCCCGTGGCCCGGGGGCGGGGAGGCGAAGGCGGAGCTCGGCCGCCTCTGCCGCTCCCCTCGGGGCGGGCTGGCCGGGGCTGCCCCCGGGGAGGCGGCGGGGGCGGCGCGACCCGCTCCTCCCTTCCTCCCTCCGGCCGGCCGGGAGACGCCCCCGGCCCGCCCGCTCGCCCGCCCGTCCGCCGCCGCCGCCGGGAGCGCAGCGCAGCCGAGACGCTCGCCGAGGCCCCGAGGGGGTCGCTGCGCGGGGACCCCCGAAGCCCCGGAGCGAGGTAAGTGGCGGGGCAGGGCAGGGGAAGGGGACGGGCGGTCCGCGGGGCAGGTCCCCCCTTTGCCCCGGCCGCCGAGGCTTCACCTGTTGAGTCTCCGCCTGCGGAGCGCCTCTCCTGCTCCTCGGAGGAGGAGTAAGAGGAGGAGGAGGAGGAGGAGGAGGAGGAGGAGGAGTAAGAGGGGGAGGAGGAGGAGGGGGCTTCAGTCCCCCCCCCCCGCGCACCCCCGTCTCCTGGCCCTCCCCAACTCCGGAGGGCGCCAGGTTGCCGATGTCCGCCCGCAGCAAATTGGAGTTGGGGGTCGGCCAGGAGACGGGGGGGGGGCCGCGCAGGCTGCAACAAGGATCTGCCCCCCCATCTCTCCCGAACCCCGCTTTGGACCTGGGTAGGCATCTTCAGGCAGTGCCAGACCCGGGGTTCTGCACGAAGCCCCCAGCCCCTTTCTCAGCCTCACACACTTTACACCCACCCACCCACTCAAAGGTGTTTCCTGCAGGGTGTTATGCACCGGCTTAACACCTCTGCGACCCCCCCGGTTTTTTTTAAAATATGGTTTTGTGCATGCACAGGTGTCAAGGGCTTGGGTGGGTGGGGGGTCCCCCAACATTAGCGCTCCCCCCTTCCTTCCCTTATTGCTCTTCCGCTTACCTGGAGGGCTGGGTCTTTGGCCTCTCTGGGTCTTAAGGGTGACCTCTCAGCTTCCTCAAAACAATTCCTCTCTCGGAGGGAGGCAGGCAGGCAGCCACTTCCCCAGGCAGCGATGGGAAATGTAGTCCAGCCTGCTCTGGAAGGACGCCTGGGCAGAAAGAAACGGGGGCTTGGGAAGGTGTGGTAGGTGGGCTTTCTCTGGGTGGGTGCAGATGTGGCATCTTGCGCTTCTGGGGTCCGAGCGAGGTGCTCTCTCTAGTCTAAGGGTTTCTCAGAGAAAGGGGCCAGATGTCCCGCTGATTTGAGCAGGAAAAGATCTGTGGGGTCACTGTGCTGGGTGGTTCTCTTGCAGACGTTTCGTGACCCAACTAGGTAACATAATCAATATCAGAAGGGAGGGGGGTTGTGGAGAGGAGGAGGAGGAGGAAGAGGGGGAGGAGGAGGAGGACTGTGGGGTCCTTGGTGCTCCCTGAGCTGGGTGGTTCTCTTGCAGACGTTTCATGACCCAACTAGGTAACATCATCAATATCAGAAGGGAGGGGGGTTGTGGAGAGGAGGGGGAGGAGGAGGAGGAGGAGGAGGAAGGAAGGAAGGAAGGAAGGAAGGAAGGAAGGAAGAAAGGAAGGACAGACTGTGGGGTCCTTGGTGCTCTCTGAGCTGGGTGGTTCTCTTGCAGACGTTTCATGACCCAGCTAGGTAACATAATCAATGCTAGAAGGGAGGGAGGAGTTGTGGAGAGGAGGAGGAGGAGGAGGAGGAGGAGGAGGAGGAGGAGGAGGAGGAGGAGGACTGTGTGGTCCTTGGTGCTCTCTGAGCTGGGTGGTTTTCTTAAAGACGTTTCATGACCCAACTAGGGAACATAATCAATGCTAGAACGGAAGAGGGTTGTGGAGAGGAGGAGGAGGACTGTGTGGGTCCTTGCTGCTCTCTGAACTTGCTTGTTTTCCTACAGACGTTTTGCGACCCAACTAAGTAACATCAGTGCTACAAGGGGCATGGGTGTGTTCAACCCTGAGGTAGAACTACAGGTAGCCCTTGACTTACACCAGTTGGTTTAGCGACCGTTCAAAGCTACAACGGCACTGAAAAAAGTGACTGAGGTCCATTTTTCACACTTACGACCGTTGCTGCGTCCCCAGGGTCACGTGATCAAAATCCCGACGCTTGGGAACTGTGACCGTTACCCTGACTTGGGAAGTGGGGGGGGGTCACGCGATCCCCTTTTGCGATCTTCTGACAAGCAAAGTGAACGGGGGAAACCAGATCCACTTCACACCCGTGTGACTATCTTAACAAGTGCACACTTCACAAGGTCGTCCAATCGGGCAAAATTCACCTTACCGCTTTCTCGCTTGGCAGAAGAAGATGTGGGCTCCGTCGTGTTTGTAAGTCTGAATGTCTTCTGTTAGGGCAGTGTTTCCCAAATTTGACCATTTTAAGGCATGTGGACTTCAACTCCCAGAATTCCACAGCCAGCAACGCTGGCTGTGGAATTCTGGGAGTTGAAGTCCACATGCCTTAAAATGGTCAAGTTTGGGAAACACTGTGTTAGGGGAATAAAAAACTCTGGTTGGTTCCCTGGGGTGGCTGGAACAGTGCTTGGGCCGCGTCGCTGGAGAAATTTGGCAACCTTTGGTGATGATTTAGCGCCGTCCCCCGTGCCACAATCTCTGGGTGCCCGCTCTTTCTCCATTTCCACGTCTAGAGCGCACGGGGGGGGGGTCCCTAACGCCCTTCGGAGACATTTTGGCCATCAGAAAGGTTAGCAACTTTTGTACGTGGCCTGCTTGCTGCTGAGCGGATGAGGGGCGGGGGCACAAGATGGAGGCTCTCTGGATGCCCCTTCTGGAGTGGAAAAACAGCCCGTAGAACTGGAAGATCCAGTCCGGTCTTTCGGGGATGGTAACAATCAACTCTGCGGTTTGATTGTGTTACACTCTTGAGAAGCTGCCCAGCGTCGCTGTGGAGTTGGGTGGTGCAGAAACATGACTAACCGGTGATTCTCACAACAGGCCACACTTTGGTTGTCGTCTTCCTCTCCGCCCCCACACGTGGAACCATCCAAAGTTCAGATTTTCCACTGAGGTTTTTTGGATTCTCCAGAGGCCTACTGGCTCAGTGTTTCTCAACCGTGACCATTTTAAGGCATGTGGACTTCAACTCCCAGAATTCCACAGCCAGCGTTGCTGGCTGTGGAATTCTGGGAGTTGAAGTCCACATGCCTTAAAATAGTCAAGGTTGAGAAACACTGTGGTAACTGCCTGAACCCAGGGCAGGATCAGGCCGCCGGTTGGGAGCGCCCCTCCCTACCTGTGGGCTGGCCTGGCCCCAGCGCTGACTGCCCCAGGGTGTGTGTTGTGTGTGTGTGTGTACAACATCTTGGCACTGGTGGAGCACCAGGGAGCCCAGGGTGCTGGACAGGAGCCCTGCAGCTCTGGCTGAGCTCTTTCCGTTGATCCCGGGATCCATGTTGTGGCTTGTGCATTTCTTTATTCTTGGCACCCTGGCAGTGAGGGCTGTGGACCGACAACAAACCCACAATTGAGGCTTACAATTACAGGCTGAGTCCTAAATTTAGGGGCAGAATTTCCATTGCTAAGCAAGGCGGTTTTTGAGTGAGTGGTGCCCCATTTTTTTTTTTTTTGCCCACAGTTAAGTCAATCCGACGGTCCTTAAGCGAGTCGGGCGTCCCCTGTTGACTTTGCTTGCCGGGAGCTGGCTGGGAAGGTCAGCGAGGGTGGTCACGTGACCCTGGGATGCGGCGGCGGCTGTAAGGACCTGTCAGTGGCCCAGCACCGGATTTCGATCCCCTGACCATCAGGAGGCTGCAGCGGTTGTAAGTCCGAGGATTGGTCGTAAGTCACTCTTTGCAGCGCCGTCGGAACTTCCAACGGTCATTAAAGGAATGGTTGTTAAGTCAAGGACTACCTGTGAGTGACAGTTGAGCGGTCAGAATCACAGAGCCGGAAGTGATCCTGGAGGTCTTCTAGTCCACCCCCCTGCTCAGGCAGGAAACCCTACACCAGTGGTTCTCAACCTTTTTAATGCCGCGACCCCCCAACCGGTCGTAAGTCAAGGACTACTCAACCGGTCATAAGTCGAGGACTACTCAACTGGTGCAGCACCGTTTGCAGAATGGGACTTTTGGCGGGCTCAGCAGGGCAGAGACAGCCTGGACAATTCCTGTTGGCTTTTGAAAGCCAATAGAATTAGACTCTATTCAAGAGAGTCTATTCTATTGGCTTTCAAAAGCCAATAGAAGAAAAGGGAGTAGCACCGCTAAGGAAAAGGGGGAAAAAATGGCGGACTGCGTTGTTTGGCGACCCCCGTGAAATGGTCGTTCGACCCCAAATGGGGTCCCGACCCACAGGTTGAGAACTAGTGCCCTACACCATTTCAGACAAATGGCTGTCCAGTCTCTTCTTAAAAACCTCCAGTGTTGGAGCATTCACCGCTTCTGGAGGCAGCTGGTTCCGCTGGTCCATTGTCCTATAATTATAATAATAAAGTTGGAAGGGACCTTGGAGGTCATCTAGTCCAACCCCCTGCTCAGGCAGGAAACCCTATCCCATTTCGAACAAATGGCTGTCCAGTCTCTTCTTAAAAACCTCCAGTGTTGGAGCATACACCGCTTCTGGAGGCAGGTGGTTCCGCTGGTTCATTGTCCTAACTGTCAGGAAGTGGGGCAAAACCCATTTGACAAATTTCTCAGCGGCATAAAATCTGGGCTCAACGGTTCGTCGTAAGTCAGGGACCGCCTGTCTCTGCTACGAAGGCAACATTTTTCCAGGCTGGTGAAAGAAATCTTGGCAAAAAGCTTTTGCTGGGTGGGCCTCGTGTGCTGGGGTGGGTGGGTGTCTGGAATACTGGGGTGACTGTGTGGGTCCCCCACCTCACCGGAAACCTACCCGGAGGTTGGTTGTGGCTTTGGAAGGCCAGATGCCCTGGTCAGATTCGTGCAGTCTCTCCAGTGGCCAAAGATCCTGGCTTTCTTCCTGCCTGTTGGGAAATCACTTTTGGAGAGGGGAGGAGGAAGCCCCCCCCTTGTCCCCCCTTGCAGCCCCCAGGGAAAAATGGCTCTTTGTGCAGGAGAAGAAGCCCCCCCCCCATGCCCGGGTGGTCAAGCACTGCTTGCCAAGCTCTCTCCAGCGCCTCTGCAGTTGCTAAAGTTGAGCTGACTTGCCTTGAGTGCTGAGGCTCGGCTGGATTTCCTTTGGAGGACCCCCCTCCCCCCTGCCTGCTTCTCTCTTCCGGCCAAGAGAGACAGAGGGAGAATAGAATAGAATAGAATAGAATAGAATAGAATAGAATAGAATAGAATAGAATAGAATAGAATAGAATACAAAATATGGAAT